GACACATACGTCACTGCCACAAAAACTATTCTCTAATGTGAATGAATGAACTGAGTGTTTATTTAGTGTGAAGCCCCGCCCACCGTCTAACGACATGGGGTAGGAAAAGAGAAAGTTTGCTCTAAAGCCTGGTTCACATGCCCTCCCTTAACCTTGGCGTCAGACGCTTGCAGATTTCCATTACACAAATGTTTCTGAGTGTTAATTATTTTAAAACACTGCAAATGTTTGAATTTGACTGTGATGAGGTCTAATAAAGTTTCCTCTAATTTATAAATAGGCTTAGGCCTACAAGTATTAATCTAAAGTCATTTGACAGTTTTTGTATTTATTTTTAAAAGCAATTGCAGTTATACTTTTAAAAAACTACATACTTCTTGACCTATAAATACTTTTTGTAAGGAGAGTCTTTTCTCTATAAGAAGTAAAAACGATCGTGGTCGAGGAATGACTGTGTTAAAACAGCACACTGTCAATTTTTACAAAAGTATTTTGACTGAAACCCGGTATTTTTTAAAGAGTTGTAGAATAAGTCGACGTCTGTGGAGTAAAGTATGACAATAGATAAGTTTTACTTTTAGCCTACAATAAAGATTATGTTTAGGGATTAGAATCTCCAAAAGAGTGCTTTAATAAAACATGCTATAGTTTTATTTAGTAACAAAAGTGTTTGACTATGTTCCCGATGATACCAAGAGTATAGGTTCGGCAGAGTGGATTCACTGTGAACCGGCCTGCCTGGCCCTTATGCACGACGTCACTATAACCTCCGTGTAGGGGTGTCAACAATGGATCGTAACAATCGATGTTTTGAACCTGTCTGTAACTAACCTAGTTTTTTTATACTTTAATACTTATTATGCATAAACGAACACGTACTACATATCTGATCTCGAATCACGATAAATTATCGATACCCTTCCCACTTCCCACCCACAATAAGCAAAGCACATAAAACGATGTCTAGCAATCGTCATTTGCTCCATTGAAACACGAAAGTCGATTGGCTGACATGGTAGTGCATTGTCGCCTCCTGACCAATGAGAACTGTTGTTACATACTTTTATTGTCAACATTCACCATTCGTTATAACATTACAAAATCTACATGGACTAAGGCTTATGATATTTTTCAATAAATGCATTGTGTCATAGTAGCACTTAAAACTTCACTAAACTCTTTAATCAGGTAGATAGTACAGATAAATATGGACCTACTTTTTGGCGCAATATAAAGCAAGCCTAACCATACGACGATGACGATGTTAAAGTTTAATGGTTGAATATTGCAGGGAGGAAACTGAACATTTTGACGTGTTTAGGTTATTTATTTTGTACTAAAAATAAAAATAATACATCTGAATGTCTGACTTATTGATACAGACATTGTTTAGTATTAATTAATTTCGTGTTGGCAGGACATTCGCGCGCCGGTTGTCTCATGAGTTGAGTCTGACATCTTGAGTAGATTGTGTTGTGCAATGAGCTGAAGCTAAACAATGTCACCGGCACCGTCGCTGTTTTGAACTAGATAGTTTCTATGTTGGCTATGAAAATTTTTAACCGTGATTACAAAACTAATACTGTAGCTATAAAGTTAATAAATGTTAAAAAAATATTTATCCCTGTCGGGTGTCCGGTGTTATCGGAATCGACTTTTGACAATCGAGTCTTGGTACCGAACCGATACCAATGTCCAAGTGGTAACCAATGGATGGTTGTATCGATGACGATAATCGATACATCCCTTTTTAAAATCAAATTGAAATTTCAATACATCGCACTCGCTGCACACCACTACCTATCACTATCACCATCACCCAGTGTCAGCTGTCGCTGTCAGTGAAATGGATGACGCAAGCGATGCCTAGGTTGCCGATTATTATTAGGCCTAGTATGTCAATATTGAAAGGGGTTAAGGGATTAAATAAAACTCAAACATTTTCCTTTCTTATTATTTACTTGTCAAACATCAACGAAATCGGCTTAACCTCTATTACTCGACTCAAGTTGCGAGTATATTTAACTAAGTGCTTCTGACGACCGGCGACGTCGGCTTCCCGCGTAGGCCTATTCATGGTGGTAGGTAGTGTACATCCAACTTACCTTCTGCTTCTTCCGAACCATCGCCACTCGCCAGTAAACCGTAAATTTTGGTTTACTATAAAATCAATCAAGAAAATATTGCAAAACGGTTTATAACTATTAAAATTACTTGAAAAAAAAAAACTGTATTAACGATATCAATTAAATTCACGGAATAATACGATTTTCAAGCATATTTCCCGGTTTTTTCACGGCTGTTAAAATTCACGCATAATTCCCGATTTTCCCGGAATTCCCGGCCGCTGACAACCCTGCACTCACACATGTTTCTCTGGATCCCAATGACCCCGAACCAATCACACCAAACCATTTTCTAAAAGAAGCTTACAAAATCAACCTAAACGAAGACCAACTGTGTAAACGACAATTAGCTCGTGTTAGATCACTCCTAGACAGCTTCTGGAAGAGGTGGGTGCATGAGTACCTTCCATGCCTTTCAAGACGGTGCAAATGACACAAAAAATTGGACCTACCAAAGATTGACGATCTTGCAATAATCATTGAGGAAAACTGCCCAAGAAATACATGGCCCCTTGGCTGAATCTCGGCTGTCTACCCAGGTCACGATGGCCAAGTACGAATAGTAGACATCACAACATCAAAAGGAACTTATCGCCGGCCTCTGACTAAAGTTGCAGTCCTTTCCGTTGGAGAGGAAAAGATGTAATATGTTTCATATTGACTCATTGATTTGTGTTTTTTAATATGTTTAATTTATGCCTGCCTTCTTTATTTTAATTGAACTAATACATGTTTTATTATTATTATGACTTTGTAAATAATGTCCATTTTTAAATACGTACATCTTTTTTTTGTCAAGTCTAAAAGTCTTGTCTGTCTTTAATATTTTTTACACTTACTCTTGTGTTGGTTATAACTCTTTCTTTTTGTTATAACTGTAAATTAAAAGCTTGAATTTATACTTGGCATATTAAGATTCCTAATTGTAATGTTTGTACTGTATATTTGATTCACCCCGTACGTAGAACCACAGAAAACATACTACTATAACCCAGTATGCTGACCGCGTGGAGCTTTGCTTGTCAGTTCGTGCTGGTGCATTGTATGCTGGTGGCGGTGCCAACGAATTGACAGGCAAAGATCCACGTGGTCAGCATCCTGGGTTATAGTAGTATGTTTTCTGTGGTAGAACAGGTACTTCATAGCTAGTTCCACCTAAGAATAAAATGGAAAGTTAAATTTAACTTTATGTGGGGATAAAAAAGTTTAATCTATATCACAGATACATATGAAGGGATTTCTTCATAAACTTTTTTTAAGAATATTGCCTATATTTGTGTATAGTAAAACACCGTTTAGAGCATATTTCTTTAATGATACATTTTTGAGATATGAGCACTGTTTTAGAACACGTCCCAAGCTACTTTACCCGTCCCCCACATATGTTGTATTTTCAAGATACCCCAAGCAACAATCGGAAGTCAAAATGTGTTATTTTTTCTGTGCACACTCAAAACCCCTATGGATGCTGGACTATTACTAAAATAGTTATTAAACTATGACTAGACATTGCCATTTGAACACAATAGTAATTAAATCTGTGACCGCAATGGCAACAGGATCTGACTCATAATGAGGTAAGCTTTCAAGAAATATTTACTCAATCTTGTAAATGATCAAGATGTAATCTGAAGCAAAAATTATCTACTTTCTAAATAGACTTAATAATAAAAATAGATAAGCTGGGTTTTCAGTAATCTGTCTCAAACCTAGTGATGTGGGCAGGGTAAATACCCAGTGGGTAGGTAAATATAAATTGGGTATTTACCCCAGGCCCGGGTAAATACCCAAAAACTGTATTTATAATTTGCATTAAAGTTAGAGAAGATTGAGATGTTTTTTTGCAATTATTACCCTGTAAGGATAGTAAAATGATAATAAAATGTGTTAAACAAAATTTTATATGGACACTACTAGCATTTTACTTCTCGGTATAATCGCCATAAATACCCAGGTCTGAGCATAAAGCATAAATACCCTGGTCGCATGGTTGCACTGGTACTGACTACTTATATATTTTTTTAAAATTTCAATTATAGATGAATTTATTTTATTAAAAGTGAAGAAAAATAATTTGTAAAGTAATAGTTATTATTTAGAAAAACAGGAAAATTTAACCTAGTAGTGGCCTATGTGTAAACAACTTAAGAAAATAATAAAAAAATTCAATCTTTAGGATGGCAGGATTTAATAATATTTTTGTTCTAGATCTTTTGTTGGTATCAATGGTATAAAAAAAACTAATTTCATAAACTTGTGATACAAAAAATTTTTGGGGACATCGGTTTAACCAGAAAACCCGTTATCCGGACTAGCCTCGGTCCCGAGGAGTCCGGATGAGAGGGAGTCTACTGTACTATCAGTATTCTGCCATTCTGCCTATGTCAATCAGGCTTTGGGTCTGTCTAGCCTTCTAAGCCATTTACACAATACAAATTTTAACTATCATAATTTAATAACAGAAGAAGTAGGTTTAGGTTCACTATTTCTCTGATGAGGTGTTGTCTTGATTTCATAACAAAAAAGTGCTAAATCATTCAATAAAAGGTACTAGCAAAGCTTCAAGTTACTGTAAAAGGTGTTACAGACTATCCTAATTTATCATGTAATGATAACAATAACATATTTAGGGGTAAATATGAATTAATTTCAATCAATTTCGTAAATACCCAAAATACCCGGGTATATCTGGATTATGGGTATTTACCTGGGTAAATACCCAGGGTATTTACCTTGAGTTTTAAATACCCAGGTATTTTACATCACTACTCAAACCTAATTGTACTACATATAACAAATAACAAAATTATCAACTAGGCTATTTATCTTTTCTATAAAAGTTGTTAAATAATGAAAATTTAATAAGACCTATACCTTTAGTGAAAGCAACAACAGATGGGGTTGTTCTGGATCCTTCGGAATTTTCAATGACTTTGGCTTGTTTTCCTTCCATGACAGCAACACAGGAGTTGGTGGTGCCAAGATCAATACCAATAACAGCACCTTTGACACCTTCAGTTCTGCAAATGAGTATAGTGTGAGATTTAGGTTTCCTGACTATAAGATATGCCATTGTACAATAATGTTTAATGGATTTTAAGACTGAATTAAAAATAACTACAATAGACTCCCTACTCCCTACCTTATCCGGACACCTTTTAATCGGACATCGGTTTAACTGGACTACACTCTGCGGAAATGAAATCTCTTTAAACCGGACAATTTTTATCAGCGCATCGGTTTAACCGGACTAGATCGGCAGGAAGTGGGCAGTACTGAAACGACTGTTCTCATGGGAAAGATTTGAGACCAGTGATCACGAGTCTAAATACAATGCTGTCCTAAATTTAAGTCAAATATGTACACAGTATGCATTTAAACAGGAGTCCCCCCCAAGGAGTCCGGATAAGAGGGATTCTACTGTAAGTTTAACTTCAGTTGTTTTGAGGTAAAAAAATATCAGCTGTAAATTGTTCCTAATGCTATTCTTATAATGAACATTTAATGTCTGATATAATTTTGTGTTAATATTTTGGGACTTTCACTATTTTTCCTACCATCACGGGATGGAGACCTTTAATTTGAGCCCTTTCCCTTTGTTCTACCACTTCCCAGTCACCCACAATTTTGACGCGAAGAATTGCCTTACATAATATATTAGGAGATAGATAGATGGAAAGATTTGCATGACATGGATTAACCTTAATGGCTATTCCTTTGGAATATTACCATGGCCATGGAATAAAGATGAAATAGGTATGTACAGGCAATATATTTTTTCATTTTTAAGGAATTACTCTGACAAGTTCCGATGGGCGGAAAAATAATTTGTTTGGGAAAAATTTTAACCAGGTACTCCCGGATGCTCCAACCAAAAAGATCAAATAATATAACCTATCATGTATTGAATATATAGTAAAGGTAGCATATGATACAAACCAGTAAAACCTGGAGGTGGTTACCGTTTCTTTAAAACATTATTTCTTTAACTAATCAGGATGTGCGTGTCAATGCTGATGAAAATGAATTTCATGATTAGCTTCGACAAGTGGAAAATGGAACCCAACCCTAACAAGCGATAAAAGATTTAGAAACTATACAATGATAGAATGATTTTATTCGGCCGATCAACAAAACATTGTTACAGGTTATGTCAAGCAGTGTACAAACATAAAATAAATATCAAGTGTTAAATAATCAAACAAACTAAGCAAAAGTCAATCAAAACAAACCATGTACAAAATGAATCGATGATTAATGTTTATAAATGCAAATACATTTTTAAAAAACTATATAAATAACAAATACCCCCGTTGCAGCAATCCTGCCGACTAAGCAAATTTCCATTTGCCTAATTGGATTTACACTCAAATATCTCCTTAAAAATATCATAATTATTCCCTACATGTTGCTCTACATTTACATGTTGCTAAAATTCGAGCAATTGCAAAGTATTACAGAACGACTTTTTTGTAAAGAGATATTTACAATGACTTTAAAAGAGTTAACTCAAAGATTACCGGTGTGTAACTCATGGACATACTCATGATGTACATTACAGTTTGATATAATCAATATTTCCAGTAAATATTTTATCATGTTTCATAAGCTGATATGGTTTTTAGTGTTTTCTACACAAACCTGCATGGTACCACCCTTTTCGCCAGCAGTAAGTTTAAAAAATTGTTTTTGTTAAATGTCAATAGGCCCTAGTTTAATATGAAATAAATGGATTATCCAAATTTGATCAAAATATGTTCATAAACAAGCAAACTACAACAGTTTTCTTATTTTCCATAAGAATAACATAGGAACTTTTGATTTACATTTTTTTAGAATTTTCTCTGTAACTATTACGCACATAATAACGCTAAATACACTTAATTATTTGTTTTTTTTTTTAGCTTTGCAAAATGGTTTATAAAGAAATTGCAAAATTTTATGTTTTTTGGGTCAAAAATGGGAAAAATCGGTTGCAATGCATAATAAGCTTGCAGACTGTAATAGGGATATGATGAGAAATAATCGTTTTAACCCTTATCAACTATATATTAGGGGTCTGCGGTGCACCGATAAAGTCGGTACGGTACAATTACCTGGTTCGGTACAGCCTATTATAATAATAAATTACTTTCAGTTTACTATCGTAGTCCGAGCACATAAAAGTCTTATCAGATGTTTGTTTACGATCTTCATAATTTATTACTGGGGTGATGATGCAATAAAAAACCCATTAGCAGTCCCAAATCCATTAACATTTTATCACGACAATAACATTTTATCTCAACAATAATTGTTGTATTCAAGTACTTCCAAGAACTGTTGAGTTTTATCACTTTTATATCTTTACGACTTTCACCAATTCTATTTTATCATAAAAATAATAGTTTTATGATGACTGTTAAATGTTATCTCTAACTCTATCTTGTTAGATGTGGCTGTTTAAGGCTTAAAATGTTTTTTAGTTTCCTAATTACGCGCTACCCATATAAAATAATGTTATTTTTTTTTACTTTTTGATTTTTTAATGTTGTAATATTGTTTATAATCAAAAGTTGACACCCACTATGTGTACCAGAATTTCAACCGTTTTGCTGTATCTCAAGCCGTTTTCGAGATATAAGCGTTTTTAGACAGTTTACGGACTTAGACGATTTTTCATGGTAACTTTTATTTGTAGCCTACCCATATAAAATAATGTTAATTTTTTTTTACTTTTTGATTTTTTAATGTTGTAATATTGTTTATAATCAAAAGTTGACACCCACTATGTGTGCCAGAATTTCAACCGTTTTGCCGTATCTCAAGCCGTTTTCGAGATATAAGCGTTTTTAGACAGTTTATTTGTAGCCTACCCATATAAAATAATGTTAAATTTTTTTTTTTACTTTTGATTTTTTAATGTTGTAATATTGTTTATAATCAAAAGTTGACACCCACTATGTGTACCAGAATTTCAACCGTTTTGCCGTATCTCAAGCCGTTTTCGAGATATAAGCGTTTTTAAACAGTTTTACGGACACTGCCCCAAGAGCCAAGTTCGCGGTCACGGGACTGGGGAATCCCCAGGTGGTGACGTCACCGGGGACGAGTCTATATATAGAAGTGGCATAGTAATGTCAATGTATTATAGTTAAAAATAATGGTTTTAATACAGTTCTGAGAAGAAAACGCAAAAATACGGGTAGCCGCGTACCGTACCGATTATGTACCGAGAACCGAGGTACAAAATATTGTACCGTACCGAACCGTACCGACCTTAAATTTTCTGTACCGCAGACCCCTACTATATATCAAATATATCACAGATTTTGAAGTCTTGAAGTGACGCTGGTTGCTAGTAAACATCCATATATTAGTGATGGGTCGGTACTTCACATCAAATGTCGGTTCCAGTACCTTCAGTACCGCAACCCGTCGCCGATTAATGCCGGAAAATTACTGATATTGCCGCGATCTAGTGCATGACATTTCCGTGACCGCGGGAGTCAATAATGATGTCTCTGCAAGGAATGTTCATGACTTTGCCGCCATTGCAGACGACGGTGACGATTCCGTGAAGCGGGAGATGTTCATGATTTTGCCACGATCATGGGAGACTATGATGATGTCTACATGACCACGAGAGATGTTCATGATTTTGCCCCTATCGTGGACGACGAAAATGACGTTTCTGTGATCCCGTGAGACGATGATGACATTTATATGGCCTTTTTACAAATAAGTTTTTTTTTCGTAGTTCTCTAAGTATAGCCAATCTATACTAATGCAAAATAGCCTACTCATTAAAAAAATTTAAATATGCTTATAATATATTGCTTTAAAAAAATAAGTAGCCTATCCCAAATATTTAAAATAAGGTACCGATGGTACCGGAACCGAGCCGAGAATCGACCTAGGAAAAAGCGGTACAGACCCATCACTAATATAATATATGAATTTGAACAAATGTTGTTTTGATCTCTAGGGACCTCAAAACGAAAAAGTAAATTGGTCCTGGGTCCAGGTCTTACCATGAGTACTACGGTAATAGCTTATTCACGTTTAATTATTATTATTATATGGGAAATTTGCTGAAACATTAAAATGTTTTCAAACAACATGATAACGTAATCATCGAGAATAAAAATGCAATACTTTTAACAATTAAATAGGTACTTGAAAATATGGATGGAGAAGCAAAGGAATTCTTCAGCGTAGTCTAAACTATCATCGATGAACCGCTGAACATTTAAATAGGCTTATTCTGATAAAATAGGTAAACTCTATCACGCCATCATTGGGGTTTTTTTTTTTTTTATTTTTTTTTGTCTTAGGACACTAGGCAGGAGCCTGGAATAGTTTTTCACATACTTCAGGCTAGGCCTAGGGGTTACGGCATTATCACTTATAAAATTGGTGTAAATACCTGCTTCTTGTAATCCAAATTGTTGCTGTTATGACGCAACTAGTTTCGACTTATCACGAAGTCATCTTCGGGCGTCCAGAGGATGTCAATTCACTTCATCCTCTGGACGCCCGAAGATGACTTCGTGATAAGTCGAAACTAGTTGCGTCATAACAGCAACAATTTGGATTACAAGAAGCAGGTATTTACACCAATTTTATATTCAACGTAATCCGGAGGCTAACATCAACAATGAAATTATCACTTAGATAAAATCCAAGAATTAAGAGAACTTTATAATGACCCAGATATTATAGCAATGGTAAAGGGCAGAAGATTACGATGGCTGGGACACGTATACAGAAGAGATGTTTACAGTATGATTAAATGGGGCAACCAGAAGGAGGACAGCCGCTGGGACGGCCCAGATTAAGATGGGATGACCAAGTGAGGCAGGGCCTCAGGAGGTTAGGAGCAAGTTTGGAGGCAGCAGAGGACAGGCAGCAGTGGAGGCCCATTGTTGGCGAGGCCAAAAATCACTTGGGATTTGTGTGGCCACAGGAGTAAGTAAGTATTAAAATCCATTGGTGATTTGGCGGGATTTGAACCCGGGACCCCAGGAATCGGAGTCCCACGCTCTAACCACTAGACCAGCTCGCTCCCCCACCATCATTAGGAATTCCACCACATAAAATTCAAATAAAAGTAGTTTCTATTTTGATGTTGATCAGAAATATAAATCTACTGTTAGGATTGGTCAATGGGGGTCTTTAGGCCTACACTAATCTTCTTGGGTCTATACAAAACGAGCAGGCCTACCACATTAAAAAAATAAGAGGGCCAGGGTGCTAAATGAAGTATTTTTTACCAAGAAATGAGCTTACTTTATCTCTACAGACCTTTGTATGCCTTTTCACATCTCACAAAGACAATTTCCAAAATTCCAATCAGGGAAGCATATCAGGCCCGTTTTTGACCCTGTAGGCGCCCTAGGCACAATTAATAGTAGCGCCCCTTTGCAATATATATTACAGGTTGTCCACTGACCGGGAAATCCGGGAATGATGTGTGACTTTTTTTAACCGAGAATTATGCGTTAATTTTGTATTTATAGCTAGAATTTTCAATTTTCCACAATCGCGCATGACAAAAGTGACGTTTCCGTGACCGCAGGAGACGAGGTTATTATGTCTACACACGGCCGCGAGGGATGATTAGATTTTTCCGCGATCACAGAAGATGACGATAATGTCCACGCGACCGCGGGAAACAGCAAAAATTTGACCGCGATCGCAGAAGGCGATGGTGATCTCCACACAACTGCAGGATATGAGTAACATTTTGCGCAAACGCGGGAGGCGATTACAATGTAAATTTAAAATTCCCATGTTATTCTTATATATAGAGAATATTGTAAAATGTTGTTGTTTGCTTGTTTATGGATATATTTTGATCAAACTTGGCAATTTTATTTATTTTATACTAAGCTATCAATATTTTATTGAAAACACACTTTATTAGTTTCTTTGTAGCAGCAAACCTAGGTACTCGTTAAACCTAATGTTATTTAAATATATTTAATTGAAAATCAATTCAGACAAATGGAAATCCGCTTAGTCGGCAGGTTTGCTGCGGCGGGGGTATTTTTACACTAAATTAGCTTAAGATATGGTGTACAGAATGGCACATAGATAATACCGGTACAATTTTTAGTTTGTTTGAATATTACAATAATTTGTTTTACATTTCAGATTTTTAGGGACTTGCGTCCCTACAGATTTGTCGGATTGGTTATTTTTCTCATGGCATGAATTGATGTGGATAGTTTTTGTTTCAGGGTTCCCATTTTAAATTCTTGTCTATTTGAATTCCCAGAAATTTAGTATGGTCTAATTTGTTTGGGTTTGAATTATCTAAAGGACCTTTGTTTGAGTTTGACTTGCAGACAAATCTGAGGTCTATTGATTTGCAGAATTCTTCTATTGATTCTTTTATCTTCAGACCTAACTGTCTATGTAGGTCAGGGTTGCCACCCGTCCCGATTTTGGTTCATCATGCCAGTATTTAAACCTATGTTAATCCGTGAGGGAGGGGGCAATGTCCCGATTTTTTCCTGACCTCAGGTGGCAACCCTGATGTAGGCTACTGATGCAAAACATGCAATAAGTGTGGTTTAGGAACATATTCAGGAATGAGTTGATATTTAACATTTTTACCTGTAGCATGAATATATCTATTAAAAACATTTTGTTTTTTAAAGTGTTAAAGCCTACATCTCTCTTGCATTTTCTCACCCATGTTACAAAGCATAGAGAGTAGGCCTACTTATCAAATGCTAGAAATATAATTCAGTTTCTTTCAACTAATGGTTTAGTTTATCTATTTGTTTCTACAGCAAGCAGCCAATTTACAACAGACGGCAATAATTTACAAGATGTTTTTACGCTTGAGTATTCTGAAAATTCTATTTTACTTTATTTGCTGACTGTAAATATATTGTAAATGGGTTGGATTGTGTTCTGCAGCCTATAATTTGTCCTCAATTAAGTTATGTAACCATCTTATGTCAAGTATGAGTTTAACATAATTTTTTAGAGTGAAGAGCTCTTAATCCAAGTTCCCATTTTGAAAAAAATATTGTCAGCTTGAAAGTCAAATTCTAGATTGCAAGTTAATATTTAACGATTTAAACTTGACGGGTTGGAAAAAAATACTTACTTGTTCCTTGACTGAATATCGTTGAATTTTGAAGCTGCATTTGTGTAGGTACTAGTCTGAAATAAAAATAGAAAGTCAATGACAACCAATCATACCCCAAAAAAGATGTTTCTAAAATGCAGTTTTTTTTTATTTTTTATTACAGTTACTACAAAAAAGTGTTGTAGGCTAGCCTTCATTCTTTTATAATGAGGTGTTCAATAATTTGTATCAACTTTAAGCCCTGATACAAATTAAGGTTACTTTGAAAACAAATCCTTAACTAAGGTTGCATGCATCTAGACTGCACGTTTATATGTCTAGCACACTTAATGGCAGCGATAAGAAGCCGTGGGCACCTCCACCCCAAGTTTGTTCACCGGGCCCCACTTAACCAATAATCTTTAACCCTCCCAGTGTTACTTGACGAAAATTCGACAAGCAGCACACTTTGTGTAGTGTTACTTGTCGATTTTTCGACACGCAGACATCGTTTACGACGAAGGCTCTATGACTGACTGAATCGGATTGAACTGGATCGAGTTAGGTATCGTTCTTTCCGTAATATTCTAAGCTTTCTCCAGAGGTCTGTCTCTAAGCGCTATTCATTTTAGTTCCGAAAATATTGTAGCAGACAGCTGACGTGCGTGTATTTGTAAACAGCTAGGTTCCCCCGGACCGATGACTGATGTGTTTTATTACGTTTATCATTGTTTTAGTGTTAAAAATCAAAAGTAGTGATATACGTGGTGCATTATAAGAAGATTTAAGTGGTTTTGAAGTGCTGGTTGATGATCCTGAAGAAAGTGATATTGATGTAAATTATCAGCCAGATTCCTAGCTATGGTTAGGCTATGCATTCTTAGCTAAACGCAATGTACTGAAATCAGTTTTTTGCCCATAACTTATTTATTTGCAAATCTACTTCCTTATATTATTATATATTTGTAATCCTCATAAAATTTAGAACAAAGTGGCTATTTTCAAATATTTATAGGCCTATAATTTATACAATTTCATTGAGCGCGAACAACTTATTTTTTTTTTGAAAATTTTTGAAATTATATTTTTTTTACCTAAAAATTTTTTTTTTTTGAAAAATGTTCCTTATGTTTTATATATAATATTGAAGCCCATGATTTTCCAAACAAAATGGTATATAGAACATTAGAATTAACATTGTTTTAAGCTTCTCAGATCCGTTTTAATAAAACCTTGCGAATGCGCCAAAAATAGGTGGACATTAAGGCCTAAACTATGGACACTTGGAGGGTTAAAATCATTACCACAGGTATTGTTTGTATATTACTTACTTAAAAGTCTTTGTTTAAAATAATTTGTTTAACATATGTTGTCAATAATAATTAAGCAATGACATTGGATTGTAAACAGTGATAGAATAAAGAGAAACAACTTGAATGTTAAAAAATACTTTTTACTTTTTATAAAAATAAACATGGCGCAGTCGGTAAAGATTTGATTAAGAATAATATCAGAAGAATATACACAGAAATGGAATTTAACAAACCGGATATCCTAAGCCTTGAAGGCAACTTGGAGGAAAATTTTAGGACATTTAAAGAAGAAGTGGAGATATATTTTATAGCCACTGAAACCGAAAAGAAACCTAACTCTATACAAGCAGCAAGGCTTAAAAACCTACTAGGAAAAGAAGCATTGAAAATTTATAAAGATTTCAAACAAGATGAACCAGAAACAGTAAAAACGATATTAGAGACACTAGAGAAGTATTGCACGCCAAGAAGGAATGAAATCATGGATATTTATAAGTTTTTCAAAAGAAAGCAGCAACAAGATGAACCATTTAATAAATTCTATTCGGACCTAAAAAATTTAGTCAAACCATGTAAATTTGAAGAACAAGAGGAAAAACTGTTGAGAGCTCAGATAATACTGGGATTAAGTTCAAAAAATGTCCAAGAAAAACTTTTGAGAGAAGATCTAAAATTGGAAAAGGTAATAGAAACCTGCAAAACGATGGAGTTAACCGAACAAAATATGAATGAAATCAATGAGAAGAAAGAAGTACTTCAAATTACAAATATTCATGATGAGAAGAAAGAAGTTCATCAAGTAACTAACACCTTTGCTGGGACACGTAAGTTGGAGGAGAGGAATATGGACCAAACAGGTAAAAGATGTTTTAAATGTTACAGATGTGGTGGTAGTCATGGAAAACAACAATGTCCAGCTTGGGGTAAAATCTGTAGTAAATGCAAAAAGTCAAATCATTTTGCAAGTATGTGTAGGACAAACTTAAATATTCTTTCTAATGAGAAATGTAACGAAGTAACTGATCAAAGTAGTAGTTCTTTTGTGCCTAATTGCCAAGGCTATGAGATTAGAAGCAATAAAGAATTTTAAAACTCCTACATCTAAGGTAGAATTACAAAGATTTTTAGGTATGGTAAATTACATCAGAAATTTCGTCCCTAATTTGGCTTCAATAGCATCACCTCTTAGGGGCGGTTTGGGAGCTCGAGCCCAGCTAGTACGCGCCTAGTGTTAGACGCGCCTAACTTTAGTCCCCGGACAAGAAAGCAGGCTTGGGAGCTCGCGCCTAAGCTGAAATGGTCGTAGATCAAGTATAGTCGCGCCTAAGTTGCAGCGCAGCTAGATGTACAGGGAATCGCGGGGAATTCAGGTTTTGACGTTGGCAACGGCCACTGCAGAGCACGTTACCGTTGACAACAACAAACGATGAACAATTGAATATGGATACAATTTTATATTGGTATATCAACGGTGGCTAATTAGTAGACTATGGTTTAAGTTTCTGCATTGTACCATTGCAAAAATTTTGTTTTGTAAGATCGTTGATTTACATCTCAATGACGGCTATGTTTTAGCTCTGGTACTACACCTTATAAATACGTACAGAGAAGCATAGGCTTCTGAAAATCAATATGATTTCTTTCAGAGATCAAAAACATTCGGTAGCCTAATCATTTAACAATGATTACCCTGTGTGTGGAACGGTAACACCTGAAACTCGGTTTCATGCAATAAAAAGCTTGAAAACTAAACAGCAATTGCCCTGTGTAATATATAGGTATTGAAGGAAATAAAATAAAAAGTATTTTAAGTAATTGCGGAGGTTATAATAGTGTGAAGCAAATGTATATCTGTTAATACTTACAAAAAAATTGTTGTAAATTTAAAAAGTTTTAACCATGACACTCTTTTATCTAACTTTCCTAAAGTGAAGTAGCTATTACCGTAGGTAGCACTTAGTTCCGGGACCGATATACTTTTCCATTTTGATGTCCCTAGAGGCCAAAAACATCCCCTATTCGTTCGTCCCTATTCGTTCAAATGTTTATACAGGGTGGCTGAAAAGTAACTTGCACCCCCACTTAACTTTTCAACCATTTGAGATATTTGAAATCGGTTTGCGGCAACCCGCATAGATATGAGGGGCCACAATAATTATGGTCAATTCTGAAAATTTTGCCCTTAGGGGTAGCGGGGGTCGGGGGTAGCTCAAAATTTTCAAATGACAAGTATAGTCGAGTTTGATATCATTTTACAGGTCTTGACAAAACATGAACATTGACATCAAGAAAACCAAAATCGGCTCACTAATAACAAAATGGCGTCCTAAAACGTTTCAAATCAAAATAACCATAAGGGTGGGAAAAAATTAACTTGCACCCTCTTTAACTTGTTATCTATTTGAGATATTTAAAATTGGTTTGCGGCAACTTGTTTGGAAATGAAGGGCTACAATAATTATGGTCAGTTTTGAAAATTTTGCCCTTAGGGATAGCGGAAGTAGGGGGTAGCTCAAAATTTCCAAATAGCAAGTATAGTCGAGTTTGGTGTCATTTTACAGGTCTTGACGAAACATAACAAACAACATAAAGAAAACCAAAATCGGACCAATAATAACAAAATGGCAGCTAAAAATGATTGAGACAATGATTATTTAAAGTAATTTTGAACTGCCATTTTGTTATTAATAGTCCGATTTCTATTTTCTTTATGCTAATTGTTATGTTTCGTCAAGACCTACAAAATGATACCAAACTCGGCTATACTTGCTATTTGAAAATTTTGAGTTACCTCTTACTTTCGCTACCCCTAAGGGCAAAATTTTCAAAACTGACCATAATTATTGTAGCCCTTCATTTCCAAACAAGTTGCCGCAAACTGATTTCAAATATCTCAAATAGATAAAAAGTTAAAGAGGGTGGAAGTTAATTTTTTAGGCACCCTCATGGTTATTTGGATTTGAAACGTTTTAGGGCGCCATTTTGTTATTAGTAAGCCGATTTTAGTTTTCTTAATGTCAATGCTGGTTTTTCGTCAAGACCTGTAAAATGATACCAAACTTGACTATACTTGTCATTTGAAAATTTTGAGCTACCCCCGACCCCCGCTACCCCTAAGGGCACAATTTTCAAAATTGACCATACTTATTGTAGCCCCTCATATCTAAGAAGGTTTCCGCAAACTGATTTCAAATATCTCAAATGGTTGAAAAGTTAAGTGGGGGTGCAAGTTACTTTTCAGCCACCCTGTATATGTATAGCCAATACATTATATACACGTCCATGATCTTGACAAATTGAGTAATTTTTGTCTGATTTTGATAAAATTTTGTATGAAAGTGTAAGGTGCGATAAACCCTAATAAGTTCGCGAACCAGCATGATCAGACCATGTGAACCCGGGGTTTTATGGGATAAAATAGTTTTTTCCTCAATTTAAACCCCTAAAACATAAATCTTTATCTTTAAAATATTTTAAAGAGAATAAAAAACAAATTAGTATCTTAAAATGTTTTGTACGGTTATTGGCTTCAGAGACTATTCAAAAATCGTAAATTTAAAACTCCCATGTGATTATCATGGAGAATACGTTAACTGTTGTAGTTTTGTAGTTTATGGATATATTTTGATGAATCTTGGCAAATTTATTTATTTTATATAAAGTTGTTAATATTTTGGTAAAAAAACACACTTTATTGCCCTCCCTGTAGTAGCATACCTACACGTAGGTAGTTTTAGTTACTTGTTAAACCTAAAGCTATTTAAATAAATTTAATTGAAAGT